GGGCCAGGTGCACCGGCGGCGGCGGCTGCTCGGCCTCCCCCGACGCGGGCTTCCCGCCCTCGGCCTCCTCCCCATCGGCCACCGCCGACTCCACGGCCTCAGAGGCGGCGGGGAGCGGGTCCGCGCCAGCCTCGCTGCCCGGGATCGGCTCCATCTCGGGCTCAGCCTCGCCGGCTCCCCCGTCACCCGGCACCGCTGCAGTCGCTGCCGCCTCCGCAGCCACGGCCGCCATTTTCTTTGCTGCTTCGCCGCCGCCTCCCTCCAGCAGAGGGATCGATAACCGCGGCCTCCTCCACCCGCCTGGGAGGGTAGGGCCCGCCCCCCTCGCTCGTCGCTGGGCCACCATTGGCGACGGCGGCGCGTTTCTCTCTTTCTACTGGCGGGCGGAGACATCCGTCAAGACCAGCGGCAACTTCTTATTGGCCGGCGCAGGCTTCATTCATTCCGGAGTCGGGAAGAGGAAGGAGGGGTGGAGCTTAAGGCTTCACACGCCGCGAAAGACCGGGGGGCGGGCCTTCGAGGCAAATGTGCCTTTCCATTGGCTCAAGGGAGACCCCCCCCCCCCAAAACCCACTGAGAGGCTGGTTATTGGAAAGCTGTGATGTCGGTCAAACACTGGCCAGGGCGTGAGGCGCGAGCCGCCTTTGGCTTGTCGTGCGCGCTCTGGGTTGTGGGGGGGGCAGAGCCTGAGGTGGCCCCTTCATGAGCCATTGGGACTGGCTGTTTCCTCACGGTGCTGTGTACAGCGCTGAGCACCGGGCGGGGTCTGTCTGACGCCTGGCTCCTGTGTCCAAGCACCTCGTCGCCCCCAGCAGTGCGGGGGGGCAGGCAGCTTTGCAAAGGGATGGAGCATGGCGAGGGCCGGGGGGGCCTGGAAGAGAGGTTGAGGAAACCCTGAAGGGGAAAATATAATAGCCTGTTAGAGAAGGAAAGTCTGAAATAGTGAGTGCTTTAGAGGGAGTTAATTACAGCCTTTTTTTAAAAAAAAAAGACAGTTACAGACGTCCTGTGCTGGAGAAAGAAGACTCAATATATGGACCAAGAAATGGGGTGTAATGACAGGGGAACAAACATGGTGACATTTGTTTGGCCTCTTGACAACATTTTGATTCCATTTTTAAAAAAAACTACTGCTTTCCCACGAGTTTGAAATCATGGCTTGCTTTGACCCTGTCTGCCCTAAGACTCCAGTTCTGCTTTGGAGGCTATGTCCGTTATTAGCTAATGTAACCATTATTTTGTAGTCTGGCATGTTAAGTAGGTGCGGGGAGAAAGAGGAAAGAGGTGAAGAACAGAAGGAGAAAAGTGTGAGAAGGGGACAGAGCAAGGAGAAGGAGGCTAACTTGTAGGCATTAATCAGCGCAGTGCTCATAAGGAGATACTCTATTGACAGTGACATTTCCTGATAAAGTATCAATCTGAAATTCTGAACATGCTTTAAGGAACCATTTTATAATCAATTACTCTACATTTACACAGTGACTTTGTCTGAAGAATTCCAAAACAGTTTACAAGCCTCTACTTTGAAGAGTATAAACTGTAGCCACATCCCAAATGTTTCAGGCAGTAAGCTAGCATAAAGCCATGAGGAAGAAATGAAGTTTTGTCTTGGAAGATTGAAGCAACCCCTAGCGTGGTTTCAAGGCCTAGTAGTATCCACAACCTTTCATCTTCCTATGGTAGGAATATTGAGCACCATGCAGTTAGAGCACTATGATAACGCAAACAATATTCTTTCTTGTATGACCCTATAAGCCAAATCTGGGGGCTGCAGCCTCCTTTCACAGCAGAGAAAGACTGGAGAGATCTGTATAAATGAAACCTGGTCCTGAAACCACTGCTGAGCATAGCACTTAACACTGCACGTTCCCTGGTGTAGCAAGTATGGCCCGACTCACCTTTCTGCTGCCCTGCAAGCCGCATATTGATTTGCATCACTGCAAGGTGAGCATATAACTACCATTCTTCTGTAATAGTGCTTCATACTGTCTTCATGCTGATTAAACTAGTAGTTGGGCCTACTGATTGCGGCATCTCTCAGTTACACTTTGCAAAGGATTTATAGATACATCAGGATGGAAAGGGCTACATAAATTGTTAGAGGCAGGAAATGCCTTAGGCATGTAGGTCAATGAGTAAATTTAAGTTTTGAAAGATAAAAGAACTTGAATAGTTTGGTTTTATATACTTTACCATGATCTGAAATCAACCATATATGGGTGGGTGGAAAAAAATTGTGTTTCTAGGGAGGTTAGTACTAGAGAAAGGTAGTGGATTTCTGTTTTATTCTCCAGCATGCGGAGAGCTTTGTCAGTCTCTGTCAGGGAGAAACAGCAGATGGACTCAGTGCTGTATGATCTGTGGCTAAAAAACAAAAAAACCCAAGCAGGTTTGGTAGGCTTTTCCAAAACTACCCAGCATTAATATTCATGTCTTAACCATCTCTAAACATTTTGTTGGGCCATATTTTAAAGCCCTGCTTACTATTTCCTGAGGCCATCATGCTTTGCAAAATGTCAACCATTTAAGAGCCCCCAGGGCTGAATATGTCTGTTGCCAGTATTGTAGGGAATAATGAGCAGATATGTGTTGCTGCTGAGTTACTAATACCTTAACTTCAAAACCTTCCCCTGTGCAAGGATTTAAATTTTGCTTCAGATGTGAGAGATCAGTTTTGCATGTCAGAATTGTTCTGTACATTCTGGTGTGTGTGTGGTGGGGCGATAATAATGGGGTCCCAAAAGGTTTTCAAAGGCTATAAATGATTCATAGATATCTTTCATTTTGGAGGGGTACAGGAGGAGAGATGGTCATAGAAAGAAAATTAGATACCTGTTCATCTTCTCTGCTTTAGTGCAGCTCCCTGGAACTGTGGTAATAGATGTGAGTCACAGAAAACTGAGATGCCTTTTTCCTAAATCAGGGATGTTTCAACTCTCCCAGTTGAGCTGCAGTACCATGGCAAACTACTGTATTGCATCCAAGTGAAGGCAGCACAGACATAATCCCAGAGACCTCCTTACCTTGGGTCTTCCCACACAGGCAATTTGGCTGTGTGAAGGGATCCTCCAAGCCGTGAACTAAATCAAACCCCAAATAGCCCTTGCCTAGAAAAGGGAATTCAGGCCAAGGTTGTATTTCAAAAATATACATTTCAGGTACCTACAATAGAAAAGGTGAGAAGGAAACAGGACTGGCAAAGCTAAAAACAGCCCATTACAAACAAGGCCAAAACTATCAAATATCCTGTACCACAGGCATTTTCAAACAGTGTTATCCCATCAGGTCATTTAGCCACAGTTTATTTCTGTAGTACAGCCAGGGTCTGGGAGGGCAGGATGGCAGTAAATTTTTAGCCTAGAACTCCTCCAGCCACACAAAGAAACTACTCAGCCCTTGAACTAATGGGAGGTTGTGATCCAGTAACTCAGCCCAGCAGGCTTTTTGTTATGTTAAATTCAGGCTTACTGGCAAAGGATGGGCGTAAAATGGAAGATTTCCTCTTCCAAAACAGTGAGATGAATGCTTTCTGAAATCTACCCTCCTTTTAAAAAGGTGTTACTTATGGCAGACAGCAACCATTAAAATGCTAACAAGCATTAATCTATTACATCTACTGAAAACCCCAGCAATACTTATGCTAAGTGCAGGTAACAAGTCTAGGTTTGTGGCTTGTTAACATTCTACTTAATTGCTGCATTGTAATACAGAGGAGACAATGCACTTGACCTGGGCCAATCTAAAATATGGACTTTTCATAAAATTAGAAGGTAAAAGGCTTTTTTACAGTTTCATTTTGGTTTTGAAAAGTCTGAAGTGTTCTTGAAAAATTGTAAACAAGTATGTATGCCACTGATCGAATAGCAGATGCATATAATCTGGGGAAGGCAGGGCAGCCTTTCTTCACCACTCCAGTCCTCTCAGGAGACCGGGGACATCTGCAGGTTGAAGTGCCAATACTACTCCCTTTCTCAGGAGGATTTTTCCAGCTGCAGTTTCCCAGAAATTGCCAGGTGTATGTGCACTTCAGCAACATAAACTGAGATTCTCATCACAGTTATATTATTGAATTGTATGTGGACATTCAGGGCTGTGTGTGTTTTGATCTAGGTGGGTGTGAATATATGCACTTAGTGTGTATCTAAGAAAATTTGTAGTTCTATAACTATATACATTGCACAAACATAAACCTCTAATGTATGCACAGTACACTGGTGTGAAACAGGGCTTGACCTAATGCACTTTATCCACTAGTTTACCAGCATAGCTACACAGAAAGGTTGCAGTCGGGAAAATGCATAAATGCAAATGAAACCAATGTGGACAGGAGCTATATTTATACTAAAGGTGAAATATGTGGTTATAACACTTGTGGACATAACTGAGATGTTTTTATCCAAACTACCTAAATTTAAATTAGCAGTAAAATTATGGTAGCATTGATTTTAGCTTGGGCTACAAAAGCTTACCAAGGACCCTGGCTGTATCCTCAGCCAGAGAAACCCCATTCTGTCCAACTTCCAGGCTGCGGGGGTGCTCCACACCATGAGGACTTACAGACCTGAGCAAATGCCGCCCCCCGGCCGCAGTCTGCTGGTTACCACTTCTCCCCCTGTCATGTGCATAGTGGAGGCATCCGCATTCCTTGCCCCTCCAGGACCTGTGCCACGTGCAGATGTATCCATGACTTAAGCATGTGTATAGTTTTATAGCGAGCGTTTATGAGAAGAGGAGGAGCACAGACAACTAGTATGTGCTAATGCCATGGCTAGGGTAAGTTAATGATTTTACTGGGGTTGTATTGAGACTAGGATTTAAGGGTATGTTATTAATATATTAGGCTCTGTCCTTCCAAACTTTAACCAGTTCAACATGTGTTATAGACACTGCTCTTAAAACATAGTGTCTTATCTAATCCATTTTATCCTAACATTGTAAAATAGGTCTAGACAAGATGTGCACTGGCAACCTTGTAGACCATTCATCAAGGCTTCTATATTTTAAAAGGAATGATTTAACTAACAGAAAACAAAATAAATACACTGCAAACCACACGCGTGCACACACATTTATGTAAAACTAACAGAAAATGAGATCTTGGTTGCACACTGCAAGACTGCATTGTTTCTGGATCAGTTTATAGATTTCATAGACGTTAGGGCTGGAAGGGACCTTGAAGATCATCAAGTCCAGCCCCTGTCCTGGGGCAGGAAGTCAGCTAGGGTCAAAAGATCCCAGCAAGATAAGCATCCAAACATTTCTTAAATGAGTACAGAGTAGGTGCCTGCATGACTTCTGGAGGGAGTCTATTCCAGGTCTTGGGAGCTCGGACAGTAAAGAATTTTTTTCTTATGTCCAGCATAAAATGGTCTTGGAGGAGTTTATGACCATTGGTCCTTATTTTACCTTGGGGCACTCTGGTAAACAGACGTTCCCCCAGATCCTGATGAACACCCCTTGTGTACTTACAGGTGGCCACCAGGTCCCCCCTGAGCCTGCGCTTTTCCAGACTGAAGAGTCCCATGGCTCTCAGCCTCTTTTCATAGGGCCTATTCTCTTGCCCTCTGATCATGTGTTTGGCTCTCCTTTGGACTTTCTCAAGCGTCTCGACATCCTTGAATTGTGGAGCCCAGAATTGGATGCAGTATTCCAGCTGCGGCCTCACCAAGGCCGAGTACAGCAGGAGGATCACATCCTGAGATTGACTTGAGAAGCATCTATGGATGCAAAGCAGAGTTTTGTTTGCTTTGCCAGCTGTGACATTGCATTGGTGGCTCATGTTCATCTTGCGGTTAGTCATGACCCCCAAGTCTCTTTCAGCAGTGGTGCTAGCAAGTGTAGTACTGTCGAGCCTATAAGCATGCTACAGGGGTTTTTTTCCTCCCCCGAGGTGGAATACCTTACATTTATCGGTATTGAATGTCATCAGGTTTGTGTCTGCCCATTTACTAATCTTATCTAAGTCAGCCTGGATCACTAGTCTGTCCTCAGGTGTGGATGTTATGCCCCAAAGTTTAGTGTCATCGGCGAACTTAGCCAGCGTGCTTCTGACACCAATGGCCACATTGTTGATAAAGATGTTGAAGAGAACCGGTCCAAGGACAGAGCCTTGGGGGACGCCACTGGTCACAGAATGCCATAATGATTCACTACCATCAACCAGTACTCTCTGGGTCCAACCTCAGAGCCAATTTCCCAGCCATCGGACTGTGGTGTAGTCAAGGCCACAGTTGGCCAATTTTTCCATGAGGAGGTCATAGGACACCAGATCAAAGGCTTTTTTAAAGTCTAGATATATGACGTCAATCACTTCTCTCTTGTCCAGGTGATATGTCACCTGGTCATAGAAGGAGATGAGATTGGTCAGGCAAGATGTAAAACAGTTTAGATGTAAAACAGTATATTATATGTAAAGTAATTAACCACTGTTTTAAAACATCATAATTGATTGATTACAGACAATTGTCTTGGGTAAAATAATAGGTCATAGAGAATACAAAAAATACAGAAAAGAATCAGTTATTCTCCCTTATGGTAATCTAATGATTTTCCTGGTCATAAGATTGCAGAGCTTATTTTGTCAGGTTTATGAATGATTCTTAAAGGATTTATAAAATCCCACCATATATACATATGCCCCAGAAGTCTAGTCTTGAATTTTAGAAGTTAATTATATGCTAAATTTCTAGTGAACATGAGATTAAGTCAAGGATTGGAGCTTTGTATAATGTCTGTGGCAGAAGGCCACCTCTGTTTTTCCCCAAAAATTCTGCTCTGTGACAATTTGATTAAGATGGGCCCTGCAGAGGGTACACACCTTACCCTATCTCTTTAGGTAACCTGAGCTGGATACATTCCTGAGGAAGGGGGGAAACCTGCTCTCTCTGCCTACGTGACTGGCATCACATACCTGGGTGAGGGGCTTGGGCTCCCTGGGGAGCTAG